CAGACATACCTTTCTAAGGTTCAGATTTCCCCACAGAACAGCTCACATTTTTTGCTGGTGTCACACTTTTCAAAGTAGAACAAACGGAAGCTGAATATCACTTTCCTTTGTTGCGGTGCTACAGAAAAGGGACTCAATTTGAGTACTGCAGGGGATGCAAGGACTCTGTCACAGGACATGCCACAACAGCCACCGATGTTAATAAACCCATGGGTTGGCCTTGGAGACCACATCAAGTCCAGGCAGAGACATTGTTCCTCTGCTCACTGCCTTCAGAAACTTTAGTGGTGGAAACTGTTAAACAGTTTCAGAATGGAGGAGACTTTCATTAAATGTATTCAAAGCTGAAAAAGCTTTAAAGGGCGCAAGTGATTTGATGGGAGAGCTAGGCCTGAAAAGGCTCTTACATACTAGCATAAATTTCACAAATTCACTTGTTGAAATCCTCATTAAAACCAGCTTCTATGCAGCTTCCAGGGAGTCTTCTTGATTATGGTCTGGAAAATATTCTCACAGTTAAGGGAAACAAAGTTTTAAAATGGCACCCATGTCCATCTAAAGCAAATGGCTCTCAGCAGGACAGAGGACCTATAACAGCAGATCAATGTTTTCGACCCACATGTGCAACGTGACTTACTCCTTTTACTGGACTCAGCTACATAAATTGTGATTATCAGAACACAGCTTGGCTCCTGCAGAAGCCCAAGGAGCAGAGAGCAGTCCTTTATCTCACAAACAGAACATATCCGTTGCTTTCGCACCAAACTTTGTGTCAGTGAAAAGATTTCACTCTAGCTTTTCTGCTTTAATCCACGTGTGCTCACCACACCATAATGTCAGTTCACCCCACAGCTGGTCACCTTATCCTTCTTGCTTCAGAGTGCTTCCAAATATTATGTACATCCACAAAAACTGCAGGTATTTCTGCAGGGTACCCTGGCAGCCAAGCAGCAAACAAAACAAAGAATTTGGAAGATGGAGGTAAAGTGTCAGCTTGGGTAAAGATACCAGAGCACAATCGTTCATTTTAAAACACTCAAGGATCTTTAACATTAGCATAGAGGAGGCCAAATCTCAGCAAACAAAGTGTGGATCATAAAAAAAAAAAAAAAAAAAAAGAAAGTCCTAAGGAAATTAATTTAGGATCTCCACATTAAATAACTGCCTAAATTGAGGTTTTATAAGTCAGTCTTGGCTCTTGGTACCAGTCAGGCAACCCTGTTTTTCACTGAGATCTTCTGGGAACTGGGACAAACCCATTGACTCTTCCAGATTTCTACAGCTGTGGATGAGAATTTGGGGGAGCAGAAGGAATCAACACATTCCCATCTTCCTTGGATACATCACTTTTATGGGATGGTTTTCCCTTTTTTCACCTACTTGCAGACTGCATCTGGGGAGCAGCTCACTTTCACAGTCACTTTTCGAAGTACAGAAAATATTAATGTATTTAATTGCTATTTTAAATGAATTCTTGTAATGATAAATTCAGCACAACCATGAGATGGGTGAAAGTAGAACAAGTCGCCTGTGACTGATGACAAACATCACTTAACACACTCGGAGCCATCAGGGCAATGGCTGCAATGGAAGAACCTGACCAGAATAATACACTAATGCCCATGAGACAGAATTCCCAGCTCTCACAGAGCAAAATAAGCAGTGCTCAGCCTGTGTCAGAAGGATGATGGAATGAATTGGCTGCCAGAGACTTGAAACTGCAATGCAAGAAGTTTGGTATTACCAGTTCAGTGCTTAAGGCTCTGAGGAATGCCCTCCAGAACTAACTGTTTACATATAACGTAAATAGTATAAACAGCTAAGTGCTGGAGGGCATATACATACATACAGATGTATGTATAAAAGAAAGAATATTTTATCTGTTCCACTCTGCACCATGAAAAGTAACAACACCATATAAATAAACAAATGTCAGCTCTCGGGAAATGCATGAAGGCAGAAAGTACAAAAGCTAGCTGCGTCTCTCATTCACACACACCCACATCCATTGGTCCAGCTAAAAAAATCTGATCCCCAGTCTCCAATTAGAAAATGCTGTTGCTAAAGATACTTTCTCAAAAATCAAAGTAACAATGTTAAATTAAGGCCAAACCAAACTCCTCTAAAAACTCTCTCTTCTGCCAGTTTTAAGCTGCCCACTGGGAACAGATAATTATCAAATAATAGTATCAACAATGTCAGATAATCACTTCAAGCTCTTTCATATGTTCAAGGAAACATTGTTTCAAATGTTACCAAGTGTCAAATATTTACTTTTGAGTCCAACTGTGTAAATGACCCATCCAGTGCCACTAAACACTGCAGGCACATGTGTAACAAGAGCAGTGGGACCTGCAAAGCAGAGGAAACAACTCAGCTGGGTTTTGAAGACAAAAGAGCGTCCTGGTAGCCAGAGCTCCCCAACGAGAGTTATGACTGCCTTTGCACTTATCTGTGTGGAGCTGTGAGGTTTTTTTAGATTGGTGGACCTACAGCAAGGCATGTGGAGCTTTACATTCCCCTTGGAGTTGGCTGTGTGTCCAGTCTCACATGCTTAGTGTGATACTCACACCCATGCTCCTGTCTTGCACTTCCCTGTGCTACAGCTGTACCTGCCACAACTGAAACTCAGAGCTGCCCCTTGTTCCAGGACCCTGTGCACCTCACTGGGTCTGTGAGGAATAAATCTGCAATTAGAGGAATAGTGCATATAAGGCTTCCACTGAATTTCCTCTTGAGAATCACCCCAGAGAGGGTGGATTCTGCTTAGAGATTGTTCTCTTCCCATCCATTTATAATGCACAGGACAACAGGCTTAGTCTACCTCATCCTTCCACTTCAAGTCCTTCACCCTTGGAATAACTGGCAGAGGTAATTCCTTTTCCAGATATGGCTGGAGGAAAAGCAAGACTGTTCTTTCCCAGTCCATCCCTGCCCTCTGAATTTTCAAGAACAGGAACACAAAGCTGTAGTACCCTAAAGCTTCTTGATCCTCAGCAACTTGAATTCACCCCACTCAGACACTGCGTGTTTTGCTATTCCTTGTTAATACTTGCAACACTGTTGTAAGGAGCTCTTGGTAAGGCAGAAGGGGTACCTCCACGACACAGAGGTGTGACTTTGAACCAATGACTTTCTCTGTTTCTTAATCAGAGCAGAGAATGAGGAATGCCAGTGTCAAGCATAGAGTGGGAGGATGAGCAGTGACCATTACAACAATGCTGTTTCATGAGCCAGCATTTACTCGATGTCAAAACATGGTTCAGGGCCCCAAATGTCATGCTCACTGAAGTCACACACCTTGTCAGCACGATTACCAAAGGCTGGCATGCAAAAATGATGGGGACTTTGTCAGACCTTTTGCTTCTCAAGGACACATGTCTGTGGAGTTTTCTGGGAGGTAATGCAACACGCAACATAGAGCAAGGGCCATGTATAGCATCTCCAGCAAGCAGCCAGCTAATAGCTATTAGTGATATTTCAGAAACAAGGACAATCTCTCTGCACTTAGATGAAAATCTTTCGGTATCTTCTTGGGAGTTGTTTCATTTCACATTTCCAAACATCTGCCTCCATCTATTTCATAATAATAGTAACAACTAGCAAAAAATAAAATTCAAAACAAACAAACAAAACAAAACAAAAGACTCCACATAGGCCTGTTGCCTGATTTCAGAAAGTGAATTTTTCTGGGACGTACACTATTAGGCAAAAGCTTTTTTTTTTTTTTTTTTTTTTTTTTTTTTTTTTTTTTCCAATAAGGCAAGTGTAAAGCATTACATTAATACACACTGGAAAAATAAGATAATGGCTTTCTTGATTGTGACAAGGAATGTGGGGAGATTTAATCTGAGCACTGAGTCAGGTGGAAGCGCCTAAACTCCCCTCGGACACAATGTTATCGCATTTAACGCTTACATCATCACCCTCACGAATGATGCTGAGTAACGCAGCCCCAAACGTCGATCCACGCACTGCACGGGTAAGAAGGGAGAAACGACCACAAAGGTCCTGTTTTGGCATACGTCAGGCACTAAGAAAGATAAGTTTGATGTCTGGAGCAGAGGGAGCGATCTATTTTCAGCTGTTCGAATAGCAGCCGCGGGCCTATCAGGATGCAGTCACTCCTCTCCATGTTTCGCATGTGTGCCGAGAATTAAGAGTTGGGAGGCAGCACAGCGGAGCCTATGCCTTCGAAAGCGTGGTGCACTGACTGCTCGTAATAAAGTAACAGGAGACAAGGCTTTGCCTCCTTGACATGTTCAGAGCAATTTCCAGTTGAAAAAGGTCAGCGTATCATTTACAGAGCGGCAGTGCCTGGAAAACTCTCGTAACTCTGCTCCGCGAAACACTCCGGCTGACAATAACAACCTGAGTATCGCCGGCGAGGCCGGCGCTCGGAGCTGCCCCGCAGGCAGGGCACTCCGCTCCGGGCAGTGCCCGCTGCCCCGGGTGTAGGCACTGCCCGAGTTCCAGGGGCACGGCTGCGAAACGGCCTAAAATAGGTGCCCGAAGCCCCGGCGAACGGGATGGAGTGGGGCAAGGGGAACAATTCTGAACGCGGGTGGTACTCGAAGCGCTACTTTTCACCCTTGCTCGGGGACGCGCTGACAGCGTCGGCTGCCAGTGCCCTCCTCAAGGATGCCGCTGTCACCGCCTCGGCGAGGCGCGGCGGCAGAGGCGCGCGACGCGCTTTTAGTGCACAGCGTGATGCAAAAGAGACCCCAAAGCAACACCCCAAGCAGTCCCAAAACCCCTTCGAAGAGCGCCCACACACGCCCTCAGCCCCCCGGGCTCGGCGCCTGCCCACCGCTCCTCACGCACTCGACGCCAGCGTGTGAGGAGCGGCGGGCAGGGCAGGGCAGGGCCCGGCCGCGGCGCGGCGGCCGAGCCCGCGGACACCGCCGGGCCCGCGGGACGGGCGGGCGGGGCGGGCGCCCCGCGGAGCGAGCGGGGCGCGGCGCGGCGCCTCCCCGCCGGCAGCGGGCGCTGTGACTCACCGCCAGGAGCGCCGAGGCGCGCTGCTCCCCCGCCGGCTGCTCCCCGTTGATGCCGCCGTTGCCGAGGAGGTGCTGGTGGTAGTCCGGGGGCGCCGCGCCGGCGGCAGCGGCGGCGGCGGGGGCGGCGGCCGCCTTGGGGTGCTTGCCGGCCTTGCGGGCGCCCTGCCCCTGCTGCACGAGGTGGAGGAGCTGCAAGGTGCTCTCCCGCTCGCGGTCGGAGCTCTCGGCGCGGCCCCGCTCGTAGCGCCCCTCGCAGCTGAGGTGGTGCTGGCGGCAGACGGCGATGCGGGCCCGCAGCCGCTCCACGATGGCGCTGTGCACCCGGGGCGCCGCCGGGCCCCCCCCCAGCAGCCCGGCCCCCAGCCCCGCGGCCTGGGGGGGAGCCGTGTCGCCCATCGCTGGCTGCCGGTCCTGGCCCTCCGGATGGGTCGGTCCTCACTGCCGCATGGAGGAGGGCGGGGGGGATGGGGGGGGAGGCGGGGGCAGCGGCGGGAGCCCGAGCCCGGGGGCTGGCGGCGGGGCGGAGGGCGGTCAGCCCCGCGCCCCCAGCCCACCCCCGCCCGGCCCCCGGGCGGTGACGGCCCCGCGGCGGGTTGACAGATCGGGGGGCGGGAGGGGGTCGCTAGGGCTGCGCCAGCATCGGCCGGCGGGAGGGGCGGGGGTCGGGGCCGGGCAGCCCCGGCCGAGGGGCGCCCGGTGAGGGAGGGACGGCGGGGCTCCGCCGCGGGAGGAGAACGGGGGGGGAAAAAAAAAAAAAAAGCCAAATAAAGCGAGCCGCTGCCTTCAAAATGAATCCCTGGACGAAGGAGCTCTCCGTCGGGAATGAGTGAGACTTGGCAGGTTTATTGGGTTTATTTTATTTCGGGGGAGCGGGGGGTTGTTATTCCTTGAAGTGAAAATTTAAGGCATTGCCGTGGTCGGCGGCGCGGAGAAACCCCCGGCGGACCGAAAATCTCGTAGGTTAGCTGGAGTGGGTTTGTTGGGATTTCTCTCTCTCCCTCTCTCTTTTTTTTTTTTTTTTTTTTTTTTTTTTTTTTTTTTCTTTCAAGTCTTTAGTAAATGTGCAAATAAAGAGCCGGGGAAGGAGGAGAAAGAGGAGGAGGGTCGTGTTAGTTCAGTCTTTGTGCTTTCTCGTTTCTCTCGCCCGCTCGTTGCTGGCCACTCTGCGGCGTGGTGACTGTGTCCGGCTGGCTGCCACTAAACTGTAGTTCCTCTAAAAATCAGAGAGACAGATCCCCCAGTCCGGAACAATGTCAGTCAGTGGACTTCCAAACCACGCTTCGCCTTCACTTAATTCAGCCACTGGATAAATCCGTATTGCTTTCAGTGCTCATCTCCCCCCTTAGTATTAAGCAGCAAGCTACGGACACAGGCAAAGAACTCCTCTCGCGTACTTTCCCTTTTACTCCCAGATATTGAACAGTTTCAAGTACAGTTTCAAGAAAAGCACGGAGTAGGGGGGAGAAGGGGGAGAGGGAAAAAAACCCCAAACGAGCAACCCAGCCCCTCTTCAGACAGTAATTACAAACGGAGAGTTGCACTTACAAACTTCCAGCATTTTGCCCCCAGAACAGTCCAGCATCCACTTTTCCTTTGTGTTTTTGTATATTCCATGCCCGCGCCGGCGGGCGGGTGTTTGCCGGCGGGCTGTCGGCGCTGCCGGTGCCGGAGCTGCCCGCGGCCCCTCCGTGCGGCGCGGAGCGGCGCGGGGGCGGGAGGCGGGTGTCACCGGCAGAGAGCGCGGCCGGGGACGCGGCGCCCGGGAGGCCGGGGCGAGGCGCGGAGCCTCCCAGCGGCCGCCGAGGGGAGTCGGGCTGCCGCTGCCGCTCCCCAGGAGGTATGTGCATGGGAGGAAGCCAAGGAAATCCCCGCTCCCCTCCTCGCCCTCTACCTGGGTGCTGGGCCGGGCGCGGAGCAGCTGTCGAGGAGCGCAGCCTCCCGCGCTCTCCCTCCTCCCCCGGCGGCGAGACCTTCAGGCGAGTACGAGGGAGTTCTCAAATAAATCACGGCGCTGCGCTCCTCTACCAGCTGGATTTCTCTGGAACAGACGGTATAAAAACAAGCAGTGCGTTCTAGGGCGCTCGCATGCACGGGACGAGTGCACGACACGAGGTCAGGCTCGGGATGTGGGAGCTCTGCGCGCTGACAGGAGCTTCTTGGGTGTCCAGGGCAAGTCACGTAGCGCCTGCACTGTGGTTCCTCCCCGGGAAAGCCGCAGGCTTGGTGCTTCTCTCGCCCGGCTCCTCTATTTAGAGCAGGGCAATTTTAGACTGCGAGATCTGGCCTCTGGAACCGGCCTTGCTGTAACTGGCAGCCGTCAGGTTCTGCGTGTTGCTGTAGGTGAGCGGTAAAGGAGGATGCAGAAATAGCTGGGAGCTGGCCGGCTTTATTAAAGCAATATGCTGTTGTACTACTGTGGCTGCATTAGCCAAAATCCCAAATACCTCTGGGAATAAAAATGTCCCCCAAGCACGCAGAGACACATCCCTGATGGAAAACCTCCAAGGTCTTTTGGGACTGTATAGCCCTTAGTAGATGGGTGCATTATCTCTCTTTCAGTTCTGCAACGGGTCCACTCAGAAAAATACAAAAAATTCATCTCAGCATACCGAGACCAATAAGCTGAGGATGAGGAAGAGCTGACAATAACCCTCACAGGTATTTTTATCCCCTTCCAAAGTCATGCAAATAAATACTTTAAATGCCAGTGATGAAGTGACACATTCCTGGAAAATCCCCCAGAATATAAAAGATATGCAGCATTAGACATACGGGAGATATAAACCCCCCCACTTTCATGACCCCCTCTCCTTTCATGTGGCAACAAACATGAAGGTTTATTGCAAGATGTGGAATTCCAGGTTCTGGCTTGGTGAGCACCAGCCAGAGCCTCTAGCACATTCAGACCCGTGTTTGTCTCAGCAAATGCTTTGAGACTTTGCTGAGGGATAAGGTCTGTGGGAGGGGTTTGGGGCTGTGCTGCCTTCAGAGGAAGGCATTATTGCTAATAGGAAAAAGAGTTTTTTTGTTGTTATTTAACCTTAAACAACTGAGGAAGAGTGGGTTATTATCTAATATGTAACAGCAGCTTGAATCTGTTGAGAACAGTGGGTTGGCACAGCTGGAAAATAAAATTAAATAATAATGTTTGTAAAATAATAGACAATGTTACCTTTGCCTCAGGCCTTGCTTTTTTTTGTTCTGTACAGCTCAGATGTCATTGCTGTGTGTAAGAGGGTCAGTCACAGAACACACGTGCAACAGTAAAACACAAATCTCATGGAGAATAAGCGAGAGTGTTTTAAATGATGGCTTAGCTGTGTTTTTCAAAGTGACTGTGGGAATATGAAATCCATGGTGCTGCTCCAGAAGCTACCAAGACAGCTGGAGGAATTCTCTCTCCCTCTCTCTTACAAGACTTCGTAGAACTCAGAGAGTGATCTTTCCAAACAAAGATTTTTTTTTTTCCCCGTTTTAACTTTACACGTTTAAGATGCGCTTTTTGCCAAGCAGCATCTCGAGAGTTCGCTTTGCGGTTTGATCTCTCCTTTCCGAGGCGAGAGGCAGCCGGCTGCGGGGCTGCGCTGCGAGCTCCGCTCGCTCAAAGCGCAGCAAATGCTGCCCCTGGTGTTTCCGAGCAGGAAATACCCCACAGCCATCCCTCGGCTTTCCAGGTTTTGTTCAGAAGACCCTGGTGAATGTCACCAACCCCTGGGTACTGCCATCAGTAGGACTGGTTGGTTGCCAGTTTTCTTAAAAGCAAACGGTTCTTAACACGTTGTAAAATCCCTTGTGATTAGTGGCATTCTCATAAGCACACTCAGCATAAAACAACATAACAGGTCCTTGAACAATTAATTACTTTATTCCTTCTGTTGACACTAATTTGTGGCCTTTTTACCTGACATTGTAATCTCATATGAACTGTCATGCTTGAGCATTTTTTTCTGTTTGAATTCCCTACTGCTGTTGAAGCTCTGAGTTTCAGCAAAAAGCAGCAGCCCCCTCCAGATGAGAAAAGCACTTATTTGTGCTGCGTTCACAGACAGGAATTCTCACCATAGACATCCTATCGTGCTAATAACTTTGCCAGAATGGAACAAAAAACTGTGCTGAACCTGTGTCACCTAAAATCTTAAGCACATGCTTCAGTATCGGCACATGCCTCGTTCATCTGTGTTTAGAAATCACATATTAAATTGCTTCAAAGTTACATTAACTCCACTGGAACACCATATACTTCATATCAATCCTGCAAAAGACTTTCTGAACCCAAAGCTTTGATTTTTCAGCCATTTCCATTATTTACTTTCCAGTGAAGGTTCTTTGCCCTTTGCCATTTTGATTTCCTGGGGTATTCCCAGCTAGGCTCGTGTATAATGCTGCTCACCTGGCAAATTGTTTAACTTTGAAGCAAAGTCTGACTGCACCTGAGTCAGTTTTCTCGTCTTTAAATTTTGGGCACAAGGTGCTTGCAATTGCTGCTCAGTTTAAACTGTAAAGTAAGCAATTGTGAACAGAGCATTTCTGGCTGGTTTTGTTTGTATGTCTTGTTTTTTATTTTAATATAATAATAATTAATCCAAGGAAATTGTGTTTATATCTTATTTAATAAAAAATACAGGAAGAAACCCCAAACAATCCCATGCCACCACTTACTACCTAGATGATTACCAACATTCACATCAATTACTCAGGGACATGGTGCCACTGATGGGGTTATTATCAGGTTCTTTTAATATAATTTCACATATTTCTCATATTATTCCTTGGCTGGTAGATCATAGTTTTCTACATTCTTCTGTCTAATCTCTAAATTCAGATTAGAAATTTGCATTTCTTCTCAATGCAGAATCAGAAAACTTTTTAAAGTCTACTTTGTGAGTGCTGGATATTCCTCTTGGAATGGTATTGTATTTACAAGTGTTTGTGTAGCACACATACACACTAGCCCACTCTGTTTATCCAGACAGACTTAAAAAAGGATAAAACTAGAAGTCTTTGTTTATCCAAATAAATGTAAACTAGAAGAGTTAAGCATGGGAATTGCCTGTAATTGCCTGCTGAAGTGCTAAAAATAGCTGCTTTTTGGAAACAGGAGAAGCCTTCACTGTTAAAAAAGTGGCAGTAACAGCTATCTACTATTAGCAAACAACTTACTTTCCAAAAACAGGACACAGGGAGAAAAATAGTTTCTTTTCACACTTCACTGCAAGAACTGGACAGAATATAGACCAAAAAGAACTTCCTGTCCCAGAAGTAGATTGTGTTAGTCAGTCTGATCCTATGCATAAATACCTCGTGTGAACTTCATCATTATCACAGTCTCTAGTTACAGAACTTAAACTAAAGCAGATTATCAAAATATTACAGGAACTAATGTAATTTCCAAGTATGATCATTAATCACCTGTGCAAAGTCTAATTGCATACTGAGCTCTCTTCATTGTTCCATTAAGACAGGTACTTTATCTTAATTAGAGCTACTGCTTCAAAAATTAACAGTAAAAACAATTTACAATATCCTACTGGAACAAACATTTTATTCTCTCACCTTTTAACTCCATTCAGTTTCTCTCATGTGGAAAAAAAAAAAAGCATGAAAGACTGGTCAGATTTCTAACTTCTCCCATCATTAGGTATTTGCACATTTTTTTTTTTTTTCTGCTAGAAATATTCCTACTGATTGCTTCTATATATAGAAAGTCTCAGGGGTAAGAGTATTCTTTGTGCTTCATGCTGTACTAGCACTTGCAGATAAACCTGGAAAATTTGATCTAAATTTTTACATATTTACTCTTTTAAACAATTTTTTAACTTTGTGGTGAAGACAAATGTAAAAGTGATGTAATGACACTTCCTATTTGCTGTCTTTTAGAAACACTAGAGATAGAACAACAGCCACAAAAGTATTATCACTTCCTCCCATCTCAGTGAGGCAAATATCAGAGTTTAAGAGACACACAAAAACATCAGCTCCTGCCAAATCAAATATTTGTTTTTTACTGAAACAGAAATGAGTACTTTCAATTTAAAGCATTTTCTTAGTCCCACTGGTGATACCACAGCCAAGACTAGTAAACCTATGGAAGCACTTTCTACCTAGAAGTTCCAACAGAATGCTTTTGTATACCTGCTAGCAACAGAAAAAACAATGACCTGGAAAAAATGCTGTAGATAGTACATGCTTTTTAGGTGAATAAAGAGGACGTAAGAAACAAGTCTGGGATATCAAAAAATGAGTAGCATGGACCATTTCAATTTCCAGTCAAACTGTATGTATCCTTGAAATATTACCTGTAATCAGCAAGCCTGAGTTTCACAAACTTATTTGTTATTTCGGTAGTGAATTGTTTTAATGTAGCGAAATGAGAGATCAACCATTCATTTTGAAGTCATAGTCTTGAGGGTTTTCAGAAAATTCATATGGTAGCAAAAGTTAGGACCAGTCAGGAAGGCTCTAAGAGGACATATTCCATTACATGGTACAGAACTCATTTCATAATGGTTTTCCTTTGTAAGAATTAAGGTACACCAAATGTATGTTATGTTCTAGAGAAGCAAACCAAACTATACAGAGATTTTATTAACAGAAAGAAGTGTGGTATCAAAAACTAAAAGGGATCTATTCAAGATGGATTCTTAAGTACTTTTAAGTTGATGGGTATGTTCCCACCAATATTCTCAGAAGAACAGAGATGAGGGAGGAGAAGGAATAGAGAAGGGAACCTTCAGCTTTGGTAACCAGAGAGATAGGTATAAGACATACCAAACCTCAGAGTTTTATGTGTCTAACTCACAGATAAGATATTGAAATAATATCTTCAACGTAAGTTTACTTGAGAGCAAGTCTCAATCAATGTTAAAAAATCTGTTTACTGGGAATTTTCATCTTGGTTTTGTATATCTTGTACCTGTATGTGGTACAAAGGAGTATAGATGCTACTAACTCAGCCTAATAGCATTTAAAACATTGCTGAATTTCAAGCTCTTAAAAAAGTAAAAGCAGTTAATTTCTCACAATGAATGCTAGAAAAAGAGTAGTGAATGATAAATCTAAGGTACAGTCTCTATGTAAAAAAGGCAGCAGATATTCATTGTTAAGCAATACATCTGCCAGCAGTTGCCTACCCAACTGGCATATCTGTTCCCATTAAAGTGGCAAAATAAATGTGGTGACTTCTTATGGACAAATCTATGAGAAATCAGGTTCCATTAGTTTTGCTGCTGAGAGTAACATGTTAGAAGGATTCAGAGTGTTAACAGTATCTTTCACTAACTTGCTCAGCCACAAAAGACTAATAGAGTATGTGCATACAGCAAGATGTAGGATTCAAAACACTGCGCCCTACATTTTACCTTAGGCTATATCTGATTCTTTTTATATGCACCCCAAATACAGGGACAGAAATGTTGTGGTGTGGGTTGACTTAGTTGGTTTCATCAATGTTAGTTAGCCTTATGCTCCCCCATGTGTCCCATTACCCCAAAAGTTCCCACCACTTGGCTCCCCAGTTATCTGTCAATCATCTCACCTCTCCCTGTTTTCTCCTTATTTGGTTCCATCAGTCCGAGTTTGTTCATACCCCTTCGGCTGTCAATCCTGTAACCACCCCCTGTTTCTTCCAGAAAGTTTTGTATCCATCACTCTAGTTTAGCTTTTCTATTTGTCCCCTGACTTTGTACCTACCCCTGCTACATTATCCATAGGTTGTTGTGTCCCTCTCGGTTTATCCCCGTTGGGCAAGACAGGTTTGCACCCCTGTCCACCTACCCTCTATTTAAGTTGCTGAAATCATTTCTTTGGCATTTGTCACTGCATCCCCCCAGAGGGCACCTTTCTTGCCATACCTGGGCAAATAAAGGACTCTTTGGGCTGGCATACAAGTGTCCTCTCTCATCTCTTCATCTCCTCTCAGCGTGCAGAATTACCCAAGCTGTGCACCCACGAGCAGCACTCAGCACTATCGTGGGCAGACGATTCTCCCCGGAGGTGCCGCTCTCGTGGCGGCCACGCGGCCTCACGTGGGCTGTGCCGGCCCGACCCTTCCGCCCGCCCGGGGCCATGGCAGGTCACCACTGCACAGGAACACTGAATAATTTGGGTTGGAGGTGACCTTTAAGGATCATAATGGCCAGGAATATCTTCCAGTATACCAGGTTTCTCAAAGCCCCATTCTGACCAAATCTTAACACACCCTTCCAAGGGAGGGCATCCACATCTTCTCTGGGCAACCTGTGCCAACGCCTCATCAACCTCACAGTAAAAAATTTCTTCCTCTATGTCCATCTAATCTACCTTCTTTGAGTTTAAAACTTGTTGTCCTGTCACTACAGGCCTTGGCAAAAAGTCCCTCTCCGTCTTCCTTGTAGGCCCCCTTTAAATACCTGAAGGTTGCAATAAGGTCCCCCAGAGCCTTCCCTTCTCCAGACTGAACAACCCCAACTCTCTCAGCCTATCTACAGCCAGCCCTCTGATCAATTTAGCGACCCTCCTCTGGACTTGTCTTTCCTGTGGTGGGATCCTACAGCTGGATGCAGCACTCCAGGTAGAGTTTAATAAGAGCAGAGGGGCAGAATCACCTCCCTCAACCTGCTGGCCATGCTGTTTTAGATGCAGTTCAGGCCACAGTTGGCCTTCTGGGCTGTGAGTACACTTTTACAGTTCTTGTCCAATTTTTCAGAATGGGCAGTACCATACTTAACCCTTCCAAAATCCTTGAAAATCTACTCTGATTTGGTTTCATGCAATTCTGGTATGCCATGCATCCTGTTTCTGAGTAACTCCTACTTTCTGTTAAGTTACACTGGAAGAATTCTTGCTTATCTTGCATGGGCATATGAATCCATTCTCCTAGGACTGCAGTTACTCCAAGTTGCTGCCATTATGTTTGCACAATGTAACCTGATGTTTAAAATCTCAGTAAATCGCCCCAGCTGCTTATCAGAGACAGCAATGTGGGCCCATGTGTTCATTTAGATGGCTAAGCCAGACTCAGTCTGTATGACGCCCATACTGTGACTCATTACCTACTTTCTCAAGAGAGGAATGACTACTGTGGTGCAAATGCAGACAGGACTGCAGCATATTTCCTCTGTTGCCTTGTAACTGTCTATACTGATTCCTCAGAGGAGCAACACAGATCCCTCAGAAAACCAAATTGCATTTGGGTCCTGTTTGTTGTAACTATCATTCTAACTGACTGGACTTGCACATAATGAGCAATAAGGAAGGTTAAGATGCAAGTCCTAAGTTCTGGTATAAAAAAGTCTAACCTTTCCAATATACCTACTTCAAAAGATCTCAGCATCTCCTCTGTTCTCTACAAAGCTCAATCTGAATAGATGGAAATTTTATTTCATAAGTAAATAGATATTGAACTGATATTTCTAACAGTAGGAAATTTTAAGTGATTAATGCAATAAGACTGGAAGGACTGATTTGGTAAAACTTTGGATTTGTATTGACACAGATGAGAAAAAAGATACAGCACATTATCAAACTAATTTAAAGGCATATGAATTTCAGTATAACAGCCTACATAGAAATCTTGAAGTCCAGGCAGAGATAAAAGTGCATGCAGATGAAGTAGGCCATACACATTTTTAAAGATGTCTTTCAAAGAGCTATATGACCTCTTAATCAATTTTTTCTTCTTGAAAATTGTCTGCATCTTCCATGTAATCTTCAAGATCATTGTATCTCTGTGAATGAAATAAAATTTGTACAATTTATCCATATTTAATAACTGTATTATGTTAAGACTGCTTTTTCTCATTCAACACGACCAAGCATGCCAGTAACAATTTAGAAGCCGTATCTAAAAGCATACTGAATGCAATTGTATTACAAATTGTCTTAAAATAGTTCATAAAGTGATTCCCAGCAATTAAAAGTTCTTCAGTGTAAACAGAATTCTAAAATATTCTTGCTGTGCCTCATGTACATCTTTCCCATCTTTCCAAGCTGCAGCTCAAGTTTGTTGTGTTGCTGCTTTCAAATTAAACAGGGGCCTGCCACCACAGCCCAGAGATCACACAGCTGTCAAAAAGCTTCATGTCAAAAGCTGATACAAACTCTATGTGAGAATGGCAGCAGACCACTGTTTCAAACACTGGTTCAGCAGAAATGGGGGAATGGGTGAGCTGAGTTGTTATTAATGAATGGTAACTCAGAACAGATCCATTAAATCAGACATTTTATCTGAACTTACTTTCATCTGCTTAGAAAAGAATACAGGGAATATGCCACTCATACCTTCTGAATCCACCCAGTCTTTTCCAAGTGGCTGAAAAGCCGCTCTACAGTGCCTTTGACTGGTTCATCCACAACGCCATCCAATTCAACAACGGAGCTGCAATCCATGTATAGCTTGTACTTGAAGTGTTTCAAGTTGTGATAAACTCTTGTACGATTTGCACACACCATGCCAACCTTCAAAACCTAGGCCAGAGAGAACAAATCATTCCCTTCGATACAACCATGATTTTTACCTTTACAATATACAGAATTGGTGGGCTAATCTAGTAAGATTTAATCAGTCGGTCCAGGAAATTGTTTGGAATAATGAAATAAACAGAATGACACTACATGCATAAAATGAACACAAACCCATGTAGTTTTGACAGCCACAGCAGAAAGATTTTTGAGCAAGCAGGCATCCAGAAAGTCAAAGCAATGGCAGCTTATCAGTGCTGTCTTCTTGCAAATACAATAGTGTTTGTAATTGGCTGTATCTTTCCTATCTCCTGGTGGAACTTTGTTACAGAATCACTAACACTTTAGACAACCATCATATTGTGAAAGCAGAGGAAGAGGAATTATTTGCTTACTTTTGCTTAATATGTAAATACTTCCTAGGGAGATGAAATATCAGTTTTAATATTTTGTAGGCTGAATAATATTCAATATTTCTTCAAGAAATACATACAAACACATATAGACATATGCCTCATAGCACTTATTTAATAAATGGAGAAGTTAAATTTCAAAAAAATAAAATCTGAACTTGAAGTTTTATACAATACAAACATTAATCTGCAACTGTTTGAGAGGAATAGCTAAGCTATGATGGTGCAGAAAAGAAAGCCTCTGCATCTCCCAGTTATAACCACTTCTTTTACCTCTATGACTTCCATTCAGAAAAGATGGAACTGACTTATTTCACAGTTTTTTCACAGCAGTATTTACAGGTAAACAAACAGCAAAATGTGGCCTGATGATGTCACACTGATGTCTTGTCACATCTTTCTGTAACAAGTATGTAAATGGCTAAAGTTCTCTGCATTAGTAATGAAAGCTACCTGTTATTGCATTGTTGTTTTACATTACATGCATATATATATATGAATCAACTAAATTTTAAGTTGCAAAACTATTTTTTATGAGCCACAAAAGTGATACCTTTTATTGCTAATAATCTGAATATTCTCAAATTACAGGAAGGTTAAATTTTAATTAATGCTTACAACCCACATTTCAGTGAGCTTTTCTGAATGCATAACCAAATGTTTGCATCTGTGAGCAGTTCCCCAGAACACCTGATCTACCTGTGCAACCTAGTGCTAGCTCCATCTGCCAACAATGAAAGTAACAGAAAAGTGTATTTTTAAAGATTATGTAAACAGAATTTATGTGTATTAATTATATATTTTTAAACTATATTAATGTATCTTAATTTCTTAGATATATTAACCAGCAGCTCAGTGGATATCACCAGGCATACTATCAATCAAATCAAAAGAGACACACTCGCTTGAAAGAACTTTTGATCTGACCTGAAATTTTAAACATTTAACCGTTTTTAACTGAAATTTTAAACATTTTGAGATAAAAAAATGCCTATTACTATATTTTAATTCTCTACTGATCATGTAAATATTATACCTACATACAGCTCCATTTTTTAGTGTCCCCAAAACTGAAAAACTAAGGCTTGTGTTTGGTGCTGCCGGTGCTCCTGAAGTGCAAGACCTACCAACTGCTGCTGAGCCTTGATGAATTCAAATTTCCAGAAGCACTATTTCAAATACTGCAGCAATGAAGAACTGAGCTGCACTGTTTCATAGAGCATTGTATAACTTTTCAAGTACTCCAAACAATGAGGTGTGGCATTTGGAACACTATGTGATAGAAAATAGGAGATACCATCTTACATCAAACTGATGGCCCAGTGTTCTCCCCTGTGACAACAGCTAGCAGGAAATATGTAGAAAGTTAGTATAAGACCTAGCACAAACATTAGAATGATCATAAGATTACCACACATTTTCTGGCAGTCAAGATTTAAGATTGTCTGTATCATCGCAAATATCATGTTCTATAGTGTGAAAGAACCTTCCCCAAGAACCTGTCTAATTCATTTTGGGACACAATACTATTTTTCTCTTCCAAAATATCCTGTGGCAGTGAGTTTCATAGCTTATTTATGTGTGACGTGGAGAAATGCCAAAGACAAATAGCTAAACATCATATAAATGTAACTATGTATTGTGTTTTTAAGCAAGAAAGATACTCTAAAAATACAATGCTATTTCAGAATGCAGCTTTGGAAAGAATCTCAGTACTGTACGCTATTTTTTTCCCCTTACAGTTCTTAGTCCCTCTGTGTTAATGCTTAACTTATCTACTCAAGCTGGCCCTATCAGCCAAAGTTGTGTTAAATCACTTTGTATGGAATGTAGGAGCATGGTTAGACAATAGCACAACATGTAGTGACTGAATCCATGTCCTCTAAGCATGTTTATAAACAGAACACCAAGACTGAGAGTAGGAAACAGTTTATGATCCAGGTGACATAAGGAAGTGTGGGGACACTTATATCTCTAAACCTTGTGATTTTCCCTAATCAGAGGGAAATGAGAATTGGCACCTAAACAGTGAGTCATCACTGCAAGCCTAAGCAAAATTGAACAGCTGTTTCTCTTCTCTTTCTACTGGCAAAGCAGAATACTTCAGAGATGAGAGAAAAGCAAAGTTTTATGCAGAAGATGGAGGTTGGAGGTCTGTTTTTGTTCTCTTCACATCCACTTTTCTTGGGTATTTTCAAACAAATCTATAGAAAATACTCCAGCTATGTGTTTCTGTTCAATTTGATCTGTCAGTCCTGAACTGCCTTCTCTATCAGTCAATTAGCCTTGTGAAATGGCAATTTTATGTAGCTCTGTGCACCTCTTTTTCTTTTATGTTTTTTTCTAAATTGGCAGGACAAGTTGCTCAATGCATTGCCAGCAGAGCTTTAAAGACAACTTGAGAACAGTACTTTTAGCAGTCTAAAGTGCAGGTCATCATAAGAACACAAATGTTGCATTACAAGACACTACAAAAAACGACTGGAAAGTGCTCAATTTCTCTCTCTCCTGAGCCTCCTCAGCAGCCACTGAGCTATACTGAGCAGGCACATAGCAGATGTCCCCAGATGCTGGTGTACACAGGGTAAAAAAAGCTCTCATTTTGTCCTGCTAAGCCGAAGAGGACAAAAATGAACTAGCAAGTTAGTTCAGTATTCCGTAGGATATTTCAAGTTTTTTCCAAAGTGAAAAATAGCCAACACTTTATGCAGGACAACATTTGGTCAGCCGTGAGGGAACTGCTACTGTTATTTCCACAGTTAAGCTGAAAGTTAGGTAAAGATTAAATTCTTGTGCTAGTTCACTAATTATTTCTGGTTAGGTAAGGCACACACTTCCCATGGAATACTGAGTATTTTTAAATTAGTGATCTGTATGTAAGGAAGAATGCCTATGACAGACTGCAGTATCAGTCTTGGGATGATTGCAGAGGATTTACTGTTTTCCTACAATAAACAGGATTAAAAAGGGGAAAAGTCTAGCTTTCTTGACTGTCATGTACATACATACTTTTCAAAACAGAATATCAGCAACTGCTGCTCAGAAGGGTCTGTAATATAAGAAAAACTCTGCCACAATTTTCAAGCTCCTGCATTACATGCAGAGCCTGTATGATGACAAAATGATAATCATGGCGACAGCTCTCAAACCTGAAAGTTAAAGAATTTGCATATACCCAGACAATACAGTTTTGAGCTTCGGTAAGGCACATGTCCTGTTTGACATGGGCTTCACTTCATTTTTACTTAAGAAATCCTATACCTCATTACCAAATATACTGAAAAAAACCCTTGTTCTGAAACTCTTTTCTTTTCAACTAGTACTGTGAGGAGTACAGTATTTCTGAGCTGTGTTCAGAAATTCTTTTACACTCACAAATAAAATACCATCTGTGTCTCCTGAAAGGAAGAAAGGCAGAACTAACTTGGATATCAGCTTGGTAAAACAACTGTAGCAATATTTTATTCTTGACAAATCAAGTGCTTTGAATTTATCATAAGAGGTCATGAATTGCATTACTGAAGGACATATGCATACCTAATCATAACAATTACATGTAGCTGTAATTTTGAAGGGAAGATCTCTAAATATTAGAAACACTCAGGTTGTTGAGAGTCAAGATTTACAAAAAACTCAGCTATGAAATAAATTTGTACTAGGCTATTAATAAATTATTTTAGGTGACTTCTTAAATCATCTAAAATGACTGCCTAATGGAATATTATATAACAACATGAAAGATGCCTTTTAATTAAAAAAAGAAAAATCTAATCCAAAACGTTCTAGAATGTCACACTATGACAAGAAATAACTCACAGAAGCAGGCTAGATGTAAAAGGAAAGAAAAAGAATCAAAAAAGCAAAATTTATTTTCTGACTCCACTGTATAGAGAATAGCAAAAGTGACAGTGGATTGGAGTATGAAATTGCTACCTCTACAACCACACTGGTCAAAGCAACAGTCCATCAATTCTCTCTGCCCACAAAGAAGAATGCAAAACAATCATTGTTTATATGAACAGTGTGAGAAAATTCAGTAGAAATATGTAAACATCAGAAGGAATGGAAAACTTTTAGAAGAACTTTAGAATTCTCGAAAGAACAGGGCAACACTAGAAGAGACAACTGAGGGAGAAATAGATGCAAGACTACCTAAATGGAAGTGTTCTCTAGTTTGGACAAGTAATTCTGATAATGCAGTAATGGGGAAAGGCTTTAATAAAATGTATTGATGTAGGTAGGAACAAGTTTTCTTGAAAGGAGATCAACAACCTCAAGTACAAATGCATCTGAGATGCCAAGATAATTTGTCCTGAGTGAATAGCTATGTGGGAAAGCAGAGGTGGGAAAAAATCTGAAGAATGAAGCAATAAATTTTGACAAGGTCATACTTGGACTGCTAGAACGACCATTGTACTGTTTCACTCAGTGTTCGAACCTACAGCAAACAAGAACTGTTGCAAGTGCAGGTGGACCTTTCAAGGGCTAGAGGCAGAGCAGGCACAGAATTAGCAAACCCAGTGACCCAATGCTGAACAAACTTTACATGCAACAAAATAGAAAACACAATCATTCAATGTTAATGAGTGTCCCTCATACAGAAAGTTACTTTTACAATGTTTCTGACCACCAATAAATGCAAGATTCCTGCTGGGAAAGTCTTAAGGGCATTATAGGCACACACAAAGGTAAAGGAAGGGCCTTTTCATTAAGGGGTAGGTATGAGGAGTAAACAGCACAAGTCATTGTGATGCAGGCAAAACCAAAGGTCACAGAAAAATATCTGATTTATTTTCTTTATAAAAGAAAAACTTAGAAATAAAAATATAGTGCTGGTTTGAAATTACCTGTTTATCTTCTGACATGAAGTCATCCACTTCCAAAGTTTTACTATTATAAAGCCTTCCAGAGAGCGACACGTTGAACTTACAGCACCGCTTCAGCGCACAGGCCTGACAAGACATATTTTTTCCAGTTTGCAAGCTTATGCAAACATATGGGTAGCAATCCACACGGTTCTGAAAAACAGATTCCAAATAACATTAAAGAACCTCTGTAAACTGAATGATGCTTCAAACAGGCTGCTGAGTACTCTGTACTCACACAAAATTAGTCCTAGAGAAATGAAAGAGATCCAGATTTCATTATTACAGTGATCATTAAATCATCACACCTATGACACTAATTCTCTTCTAGTAATATACATACAATAACTAATGGCAATTATTTTCGTAATAGTAGAAGGTTCATGATGAACATACTGTTTACCTTTTTGTGGGAGAAGGAAAAAAATCTTGTTAGAATGTTTAGCAAGTGACAAAAAAAAAAATCCTCGAATGTCAACTGCTGGTTAGCAGTCAGGTAGCTGAGAACAGATTCTGTTCTGCTACCTGAATGTTTGTCTGGTTATCAACATGTAAAATATTTCTGATATTTATATAAACACCAAAACAAATTATTTAAGTCAAAGAACAATAGTTGCTATTAAGAAGGATATATAATTATAGTGATTGTTGCACCTTTACAGAGAGTTTCAGCACTTAAAGTAGAATCTATATACCTTGTATCGATCCTTCCAGCGACTTGTACAGATTAGGTTCTCAAGACGAGGCTGAATGAAGCGGTCATCCAAATAATGAAGTGAGAGAAGCATTTCTTGTGCATATTTCTTTCGTCTCGTTCCATCTGTTCAGTGAGAATCATCACTAATTTGCTGACCACCCTATGTTGTACAAGTTCTTTAGATACAATTTTCAAGGACTTTATGCTTCTGCACACTAAGAACTATGAATGATTTTACTAAACTGTTATTGAATACTATAATTTGCTACTGTTACCCATAAAAGTGATCCATGCAATCCAAGCGTCTTGATAAAGGGATATATTTCATTAATTAAAAGGGGTACAAGAATAAACTCCACAATCAAGGCAAAAGCTTTCATCCCAAATGGAAATCCAATCACTCAATCCTATTTAAAAGAATAGAAAAGGAGGAAGTATGTGGGGGAATGTCATGTTTTTCAATCCATGAAAGAAACTGCTCTGAGCTACTTCAGAGCAGAAATCTTGACAACTCTCTTTGTAACTTATAAAGATATCAGAGAAACTGACTTTTACTTCAGTAGCACAGTCAGATGCCTTGAGTTAGCATAAGTACTTCCAAATACTTACTCAAGCAAAATAAATAAAAAAGCACGAGGATGAGTAAAACTACCACTGTTTCCCAAATACATACTGGACTCCAGGAATTAAACAGGATTTCCCTAGATGGAAGCCAATGCACATGGCCCTGGAACTTCAGTGTGTACAGACATAAAACTTAATTCAGCTACCTTCCCAATACTTAATTCCCAAAACTTAATTCCCTACCTTCTAGCAAAGCTGTTATCCAAAAAAAGGCAGACCTGAGAAGGACAACTCGCTATCCAGCTTTCTATATAAAAGTAGTTAATTGTCATTATAGCCACCATAATTGCAATAAACTGTTTTTCCACATTCACTTTACACACACATTTGCAGTACGAGCTTGAAAAGGCTGTGCTAGGCCACAAAGTAAAATCCCTCCCAACTAAAAGCAAGTGTGAACTCCAATACTATAGTAGCTGTTCTTGAGTCAAAACTAATGAAGAGATTCACTTCCATTAACTCGGAACAATCCATTCTATGTTACAAAAATACGTGTTTGCAATGCTAGGCTATGTTCATACAATGTTCATGTACAACCTCCAGCTCAACTGCAAAGCTCATTTCCTTTCAGCAACTTGGCAGTAAATTGTTACATTTTATTGAGCAGTTATCATTTGAAATAGAAGGAAGCTATTACAACATTAATCTGGCAGTGTTTATTAATTACTTTTCAAAGGCTTGTTTTTACTCGTTGAAACAAAACAAACCAAACACCTGAAAGAACGAACAAGGGTAGATGAAAGACATTTTTAGCTCCAAGAGTATACAGCCTTTATTCTGAGGTCTGTGGTGTACATCAGCTTCTCCATTTCCTCTTAGTTCCTGATGACATCAAAACCTCCACTCTTGGCATTTCACTAACTGCTTCCATAATCTGACACTGAGAGTCCTCTCCTTAATCCCATCTTTACAGTGCTTATGAAACTATGTGTGAGGCTGTTATTCAGCCCCACTAGGACAAATGCCAAAAAGAACTTCCTCAGAAAGACAGAAAGACTAAGACAAGTACTGACTGGAGCTGAAGCTTATTTATCTGATGTGTTAAAAAAAAAAAAAAAAAAAAAAGGGAAAAAATACAATATAGAGTCATCTCCATAACTAAAAGCATTTATTATTTGTCAAATTCCTAAGAAAAAAAAAGCTGTGAAGCACAAGAGCTTTTGATAAACCAGCTGACCTTGCAATGTTTTCATTGAGATATCTGCTTTGAAACAAATTTGGTTCTCATGCTGGAAAGGTTACTACTGATTAGTAACACAGACACACATTCTGACCTCTCAAGAAGGCATTTCAAGCCTTCTGTGCTCAATAATTGAGTCTACACATTTTTCCAAGATTACTGTATCATTTTCAGATATAACTCCCCCACCAGTTATATAGCAGGAAAATCAAAGATTTCAGGACCCTCAGTTCTATAATCAGGAGAAACACCCTTCCCTAGAACAAATGGTTTTGTATAACTTTGAATACATTAATATATTATTTAATGAAATTTACTTACCATATAATGAGCTCAGAAAAGAATCATCAATTGCATTTATGAGGAAAGCCTTTACTGTTCTTTTAAAATGTACATAATGATCACAGCGAGATACTGGAAAGAAAGAAATACAACTGAAATTTACCAAAAGAAGGAAAAAAAAAAAGTAAGCCATGCTAGAAGTCCCGTGAGAATTCTTCCTCTCCAGTATTGTAAGTTTATAATTTTAAAGTTATTTAAATATTGACTTAGAAATAATTTCATTGCACAACATCCACAGCCAGAGGATTTTGACTTTAAATTCTGCTTTTTATCCCAATGATTCTACAGAATTTTAGCATTCTAAAATGACAAAGTGCTTCCAGCAAGAAGAGTCCACAGTAAGACCTACAAACACTAAGAGAAGTGAAGAATTTGTTCTATGAATAGCAGAAAATAACATAAATCAGAGAAGACCAAGCTTATATTGTGGTCATGGGTTTTTTGCTTGTGTTTTTTTTTTTGTTGTGTTCATGTTTTTCTGTCTTTCAAATACAATTCTACTGAGGTATTCACTGGGAAAGAAATACCACAAATGCTTGTGACTACCTACACTAGCAGTGACTGTCTAGTCACTACATACCTGCTTCTGAACAACAAAATATGGAAGAAAATAACTTGCATAAGGTTTTGCTTCAAATCTCTCTGCTCCATCCAGAAACTGGTTTTCATAAAAGAACAATTTGAAGAGTTTTCTTGCTCTGTGTAATTTGGCCAAGATTGGCCAGTAAAGTCAGAAACTCCTCTGGACCTCTAGTCCCAAGTCTTCCCACCACAGAATAAAAATACATAAAAAAGACCAAAATAAAACAAAAAAACAACCAAACAAAAAATCCAAAAAATAAAATCCCAAGCCCCAAACTCATAGCGAGAAAAGAATTTGGACAGATTAACATAGCTGATCTTAGCATAAACTACAAGATTGTAGGATGAAGGATGATGCCTTCACGCCTCCACAGAAATGAATGCATCATAGGCAGTCTACTTGATCCTAAATCAGACCAGCTGAAAAAAAAATTGTGCAATAAGGTTTCACTTTCTCCCCCCCAACTTATACCCTATCTATAATTAGCTATTTAAAGACTGCAAAAGTTTACTGTGGAAATCAGAATGCTTTCATAATAAATTGAAACCTTTTAGGTATCTGCTTTTAAATATCATATCCTATTCCTTTGCATTTGCATTCAGCCCATTAATTTTTATTACAGTAGTACGAGCTAGTTATACATGAAGAATTATCACTAATTTTGATCTTACACTGTGGGATGTAGCGTGCCAGCAGCTCGCTGTTTGATGGATTTGGTTGCTTTTGATGTGGCTGATTTTCATTCTTCACATGCTCTGTGTTGTCAATGTCATCACCATCATCATTTTCCTCTTCCTCTACTACAAAATCTTTTATGCTGTCACCATCAGTTTCACTGCCTTCTGATGGTGTGAGGGGCAGCTGACAGAATGGTTCCTCTTCTACTGCTGATTCACTATTAGAATCCTAATTAAATTTTAAAAAGTACTTCAAACACAAGAATTTTCAGTATTTGCACAGACAAAATACTACATACACCAGCTAAGATTTCTGACCATCTAATTACACCATTTGCTCAATTAACAAGAAAGCACACATTTCCAAAAAATACATCATTCTGTATTAGACAACAATTACTTTCAGCTTTACATTAGCCATTTCCATGTACCTCCCTTCAGTCTACTTCTAGGAATTAGGCTACCATGAGATCTCTAAGGCACTTCGTCAGGTATTCTGCTTCCTGATAAAAATAACTTGATAGATTTTCAGCAGTCAATAGTTATCCAGTTAATGTGTCTGTTAAAATATTACAGAACTACTAATTCATCATGCATTCAAACCCAAAAACTCCAACTGATTTTTACCTCCTAACCTTTCCTGAGGTTCAATATTTCCTCCAATTAAATTTCAAAGATAGAACCCTGACCTCACAATTTGCACCGCTGCAGGATCTCCGAGCTGCACTTTGTCTTACAAGTTCCTTCAATTTTGCAAGAACTTTCTGTTTCCTACTCGCAGAAACATTCTCTGTAGGGCATGTTTTATCAGGCCGCTGTTCTTCAGAATTCTCATCGTCATCCAGGATACAGCGGCGTTTGGCAGAAACCTTTCTAACAAGTATGTCACTGTCCTCACTTTCATCGCTGTCCAACATGACAGAGGAGCTCGACCTCTTACGCCTCCCAGGCACAACGCGCTCGTCATCACCATCTTCCGCAACTTCCCCACTGTGGACTTTCTCCTGCTGATCCGAAGGACCGCCCTCCACAGCCGTCTGATCTCGTTCGTCTGTTTCACTTTCGGATGTGGCAGACTCCTCCTCCTGCTCAGAGGAGACTGAGGATTCGTCGTTGCTGTCGGGCAGTATCAGCGCCCTTCTAGTGCGCCTCCAATCGATTCGGGATTTGGAGGATGCCGCTTTGGTCCCCGCTGTCTTACCTCTTGTTTCGTATCTTTTGACAGCTGCCTTTAGCCCCATCGGAAAGCTGTAGCAACACACCTAAATATAAATCGGTAGAACAAAGCACTTAATACATTATGCTAGTCAAAGGGGAAAAAAAAAAAAAAAAAAAAAGGAGTACATCTTGCTTCACCTGCTTATGACTTAGCAGCACCATTAAGAGACTCACGCGAAAACCAGCAGCAAACAGAACTCAGCACGCACAGCAACTTCTGGAGAGGCTGCAGCTCACGCAGGACCGCAGAAGCTCCCGCGGCCGGCGCGGCCGCACTGCAGGAATCGGGTCAGGGGCGCCGCTGCCGCTGCCGCTCCCGGGGCCGCCCCCGGGGCCGTTCGGGGCCGCCCCCGGGGCCGTTCTGGGCCGTTCTGGGCCGTTCGGGGCCGTTCTGGGCTGTTCGGGGCCGTTCGGGGCCGTTTCGGGCTCGGACACCGCGCGCGCGCCGCCGTTTCGCGCCGCGCGCCGCCTCAGCCGCCCAGCTCGAACTCCCGCCCCCTCCACCGCTCCGCGCATCGCGATTGGCCGCCGCGCCTGTCACTCATCCCACGCGGCGTGGGTCGTGTTCGTGCGTAGTGGTGGGCGAAACGGAGCTGGCGTGTTCGAGTCCCGGCTCGGCGCCCTCCCGGCGCCTTACTCGGAGGTCTCAGGCAGCGCTGTCGTGCGGTGATTTAATTGTTTGTCCCCGTCCTTGGTGTATCCCCGAGAAAAGTCTCCGTGGGACTGTGGGCTATGGCAGCCCGCAGCGGGGCTGGCAGGGGCCGCCGCTGGTGTGAGGCGCTCCCCGCCGGAGCGGCTTCCTCAGCAGCCCTGGGAGCAAAGCCGGTGGGTTTGTGAGGGGAGCCCGAGGGGCTGGGGGGGGTCTGGGCTGGAGAAAAGTGGGCTCGGGGGCCCTTATCGTTCTCTACAGCTGCCTGAATCAGGGCGGGGATGGGGCAAGAGGAAATGGCCTCAAGTTGCGCCAGGGGAGGTTAGGTCGTACATTTAGGGAAAAAATTCTTCCCTGAAAGAATGGTCAAGCATTGGAACAAGCTGCCCGGGAAGTGGTGGAGTCACCATCCCTGGGAATGTTCAAAAGGCATGTGGATATAGCACTTGAGGACAGATTTTAATGGTGAACGGGGTGGTGGTGCTGGGCCAGTGGTCGGGCTTGATGACCTTAAAGGTATTTTCCAGCCTTAATGATTCTACAGCTCTTTGAATAATGAGCTTCTGCTGTTTTTCTGCATAAAGCATCTTTGAATAGGATGGTGGATTCTGTTCAGAGCTAATAAACTTGGAGATGCATATTCATGTCTTAAATTTTCTCTGCTTTGCTTGGTCTGTGGCAGAAAACTGCTATTATCTTGGAACTCATTCTGCTGACTTACTTGGGTACTCTTTTAACAAAATCTTGTAATTTCTTCCATATATTTCTTTAAAAATAGCTGCTAACAAAACCATAAGGAGAGAAAATCCTAGAAAGGAAAGACAATTATTTCTCATTTACATAATGAATTTGATAGGGTGAAAGGTGTGGACAGGTGTGTTGAATTCCCACCAAAATGTTTATATTGAAAGGATTATAATGGTTGTAATTCAAGGATTATATTGCATTAGGGGATTTATAGTCCTGGGCTGGCATTTCCATTAATTGCTTTACATTTAAATGTCAGTACGTGGATTTTCACATACATATACGGATCAGAGTTTAGCGATGATTTATTATTTTCTCCAAAGTGTGGTGAAAGCCAGCATTTTAGGGTGCTGCTCTGTCCCTGGTCTGCATCGTATTTCTTGCTTCCAACATCGCCATCTTGTGACAAAAGGCATAAAGGAATCCTGGTGGTTTTACTCCTGCAGTACAGTGGACGGAAATAACGTAATTACATTGAAAATATTGTATGTAACTAAAGAAAATATCTAGTAAATACATTTTTTTTCCTACTTCAATGACATGAAGAGTTTCAGTTTTGAATACTTGTGTCTGAAGGACAGCAAGAAGTTTTTACTGTTCACAATACTTATATCCTGATGATTTTTCAGGTGAGCCCCAGTCTCAGGTGAGTCTACAGCATGGGGTCATGCAAGACCTTAGATTTTAGTCGCAGAATTCAGTCAAAAGACAGAAGTTTTCCAAGCTGACAAACTTTCATCAAAACTCCTCTCTTAGTATTTTAATATGTTCTGTACACATTAAGCAAACTCATTTGCCTCACAGAAAATAAACACAGTTGATTTTCTTGCATACCATAGCATTTTTCCTGACTTTGTGCAGTTACTGTGCCATGTGATGGCAGCAGCATCTCCCCAGTACAGAGTTTTATATTTTCCTGGGGTATTCCAGTCCCATGTGATTTTAGATAATAGAGAAATTATTATATTGAAACCTTTATTTTAAGTGGCAGCCCCAAGTAACCCCTTCTGTTGCTGGCTGCTTTAGTCACTAAGTGTTTGCCCTGCTGCTTTCCAGCTGGTCTGTTAGTTGTCTGCCTGTTGCTGTGTTCACATAGCAGATTCTCTGGAGCTTTAGCTCTTCTGGGGTTCAGTGATGTACAGGGTTATATGAACATTCCTTCCACGAAACAGACCCTTCCTGCTTGGGGTATTCTCCTTTCCCTAAGGTAAGCAATGGGAATCTCAGAGCCTGCGGTTCCCAGGGACCATTTCCTGCAGCAGTGCAGCATTTGCAAACACCCCATGACTCCCAGACATACTGAGCATTAGGCTGGCTCATGCCCAAATAGTAGTGTTGGAATTTACCCCAACTGAAAAAAACCAAAAACAAAACCAAAAAAAAACCCACAAAAAAACAACTCAAAAAGCTATTTTTGACTTTTAATCTTAAGAAGAAGTTCAGCCTGGCTGGGACTGGCACAGGCACCAAAGTTGCTCTTGCTCTCTGACAGATTGCAATTGCTCAACAGCGTGTTAGAGCAGAAGTGGCAAGTCACCTCTGAGTTTGACAAATGTTTTGGGCAGTGGCGCCCATGACAATGAGCTTTACTGATTTTGAAATAAATTTTCAGCATTGCATTTCCTTAGGACCGTTTACTGGTCACCAGCTTACATCACCAGGGACTCCCTGTTCCTTCACCAAATGCGCTGTTCAGTCAATTTATGTCATACATTAAGCAGAGACGTAAATTAACCACATAATAACAGTTTCATCAGCAGAAAGAGCTGCTAGCACTCATAGGGAGGTCCCCAAGTAAGACTATACCTGAAGTGTAGGAATTGAATGTAAAGTCGTCTTCATTTTTTTATTCTTTTATTCTTTCTCTCTGTCTTCCTTGAACTCAACCTCCTGCAGGGTACATGAAGAGCATATTACAGGGGACTCACTAGTTTGCATTTCTCTGCCTCCTATTTCTTGTCAATGGAAGACCATTTCCCTAGATTTAGGGAGAATCCCTGCAAATGATAAACCTCCCCAAAAGCCCTTTTAGATGCTGGCTGACTTTGACCTGATTCTTGTAATTTTCCATTACCACTCTATAGACAGTAGCAACAGAGAAATTCACTTTAATAATTACAATTTTTAAAGTGTAAACATTTTAAGATTCCATTTTCAATGTCTATTTTAAAGAGCAGACATCTCCATTTAGAAGAAGTATATTTCCCAAAAAAGTTTAAAAAGTTTCCTGGAGCACGGTTTTCATAGTAATTCTAAAGCCCTCCCCTCCCTCCTGCTTTTGTGAATAGTACAGCTTTTCTCAGAGACTGGAATTCATTTCTGCACAGAAGCCTTTTTAAGGAATTAAATGAGGTTTATGAGATCCTTAATCCTGATTCTGGCTCTTTGTGTGGTGTTGAATTTCATAGAAAGAGTGAATTTCAGACAAAAGAGACCAACAGAGTTAACATTTAATCTCTTTTTGAAACACTGAGAGCTTTCTGGTCTTGAGAGATTCTGAAATGATGTTTCAGATATAAAAGTTTTCTTTGTGTGTCTTGTAGGCTGGATCACGATTACTAGATGACTTGCATGATGTTGTCAGCAGTGCCTTTGGGAGCTCTGGTCCCTGCTATTTAAAAGACCTAATAGTTGATAAAATGTGTAATTACCTTGCCCTTTGTATATGTAAGTTAAAATCTTTTATCTTCAGTGTCTGAAGTATATACAGTCTAATAGTGGGAGGGTACAAGGCTGCATGTAGTTAATAATGAACTATTTGAAGATCACCTCTCTTTTGATCCAGTTTCACTCTAGTAAAACTCAGTTTATTCTATTTTCACTGCCTTAAGATTTCAGAAATACCTTGGTCTTTCAAAGTCACATAGAGTATGAATTACATCCTTCTGTGTTGTAGTAAGAGACTGGCGAATAAATAGGATTTGATGTTTATCTGGTGTTGGTAGAAAGGTGATGCATTCCTGCAAAATCCTGGAAAGATTGTTTGAATAATGTCAATGTTTAGATAATGCTGGCTATAACTCAACCATGTTGATGTGCTGAATTTTGAGCAAGAGCAAACCAAGGCATAACTTACTAGCATCCCCAAGAACTGTGTAATGAAGCTCAGCAGTTTTGTGCATTGAGGGGAAAGGATGTTTCATCTTACTTTCAGAATTTTTCACTTTCATTTTAATATTTCCTGGAGAATTTAACTTTTGTGTGGTTTCTTTTCTCTTGGTCACAAGTCAAATGTAAACTTTTGGCAGCATTTCTCTAGCTGGAGTGCAGTCTTTTGCCAGGAGGAATGTGATGAGTCATGATCTGTGACCAGAATAGCTGGGCTGTTAAAATTGCCAAGAGTTGATGGAGTTCCACCCACAAAACTGTGCTTAGGTACTTGAATATATTCTATCTGTGGCAACAGAAACAAGAGACTCTTAAAATGAACTGGAGTGGCAAAAGCATTCATCTGCATATAGCATGTTCACTAAATTCTTACCCTGCTATATACCAGAGTCTCTGGACCTGCAAAAGCCTTTCAGCTTTAACTTAGCCTTCATTTTTGGCTTGGCTTGATGAATGGCTATTAAAAGCCTTCATTTGTGTTTTCACTACATTATAGAGATAAAAAGTAAGTATTTAAACTATAATGCAGAGAACACCTGCCTGGTTAACCCAACCTGCGCATACTACAAAGAGGATACCAAAGTATACACAAACAGACATTCCTACATTTCTTAGTGTGTACATTTCTTACTTAATTAAGGGAATGAAGGTGATGTAACCCTGCTTGTAAGGAGGTACAGTTTCCATCTTCTATCTGTAAAGATTAGAAATCTTTTAAATTATTTGCATAATAGCAAAGTCAGAATAAAGGATTGTGTCATCCCAGGCCTGATGGTGATTCTCTGAGATTTACTGTTTGAGTAAAGCACCTTTCATGTGAAGGTATTGTTTCTATTCAGATCCTTGGCAA